ATTTTCGGTATATTTATTTATTTAAAAAATTTAATATCAGTTAATAATTAGTGTTCAAATCAACAATTAGAAGTTTAGTTATGATAGTTACGATATTAAATTATATGAATATGCAGATAAAAGTAACAAATATCAAAATATGTGAAAAATTAGTTCGGTCGCCGCCGCTAGATGGCTATAGTGTTTTTGTGTCCATTAACGTGCCTATATGCTCTTATTTATACATGTATATGGTATAAATGTATATGGAAATATATGATTGCAATGAATGTTATAAATAATAATCTATAATTTTTAACAATTATAGTACTAGTCATTCCTCTGGGACAATGATGCTATCCCATTCATTACTTCAGGATGGTTGGTTAGCATAATCTTTGATATGGTCGAGTTCAAAAAAAAAAATGCTTTGGGTGCAAAGACTATTTGTTCGAATTGTTCTTTTCTTTCAGATTGCTCGGTTTAAGTAGGCTGGGAGCAGTGTAATCGCAAGTCAGTGATTGGATGATTTGACTCTTTAAATCAAAGAATTTGGCGTGTCCATTGTCCACACCATCTTAATTCAACAGCGTTCGAATTATATAAAAGTTTTTATTGAGCATAGTGTTACATGTTACAATAGTAATAATTATAATAATATTAATAATGGTGAAAGTAATGATAATCAATGATATACCTTTCAACAAATAAAACTATCACGATGTTACATTTAAAAACGGTACTTTTACAAACTCCTGATTTGTAATCGGCTTGACTAGCATATTAGAAGCATTAACGTTACAGTTAATCGTAATCAATTAGAGAAGGATCGAAAGCACGTTTAATACGGAGGGACAATTACGATAAACAGGTATTAAAAACGCTTTGTAATAAATTAGGTATGATACGAGAAATGTACAATGATAAATCACTAATATTATTATTAGACGTATCGAGAGCTACACATCGTTCATGAAAATAACGTGCAAGGCTGATTTGTACGAGTTTCAGTAGTAAAATATTTTGCTCCTCTTCTCTTTAACAATTTTTGTCTCGCTATCCCTCGCTTTATTAAAAACACTGAATAGCTGTTCGTTAATTAATTTCACGTTTTTTTGTGAGATTATTTCCACAGCCTTTAAGATTGGTGACCAAATCAGCCTGGCAGATTCGGAAAAGAGAAGGAGCGACACGCGCGTAAGAAAACGTCCGACAGATAATAAAATATGTGTACAACTTCCAATAAATATGCGACGTTCGTCTAAAGTACAGATTGCTTATCCAGTAATCCGCCGCGTCTCGTACAAAGTACTTAAAATAGATTCTAAACTAGTCTTTCGTGCTTTAAGTTTAATTAATTTGTATCAGGAAGTTTCTTATGGTTTTACTCGATTATATTTTAGGCTTGAAGTGCCTATAAAAGAACACCCAGTTACTTCCGTTATGTATCCATTTAAAAACAATTGTATCGTATTAAATCTGATTTCTAAATTCTTAAAAGGTTTAAGGTTGAAACATTTTATTAAAGAAAGTTACGCGTAGAAATTTAGTAGAAATATTTTTGTATTAATGGCATTACGTCTTTATTTACTAATTAAAATATCACAATATCTATGATGGAAACGTAGAAAGCGAAGATATTTTTCTTCGCGTTTAAGATTCCTACGAGACAAGAAACTGAGATGAATTATTTTGTTTATTTGAACGTTAACAAACGTCACTCGCCACAAGGTTTTCACGTGTAAAAGATTACGAATATGTATAGGCATTCTGTTTTAGGCGCTTCACCCTGTAGTTAACATACAGTGATTATTTGCAGAATGAGCTTCGAGTTCGAAGAGCGTCTACGATTTTTCTGTGCAGAATTTTCATTGCGAGAAGTTGAACAAAATTCTTGATCGTAGCATCCTCGATTCGAACACTATTCGTGTGTACATACACGAAACTTGATTGATCGTTCGATTCTTGTTAGAACTTTACAAAATACTGAAGTAATACTGAGTAATATACGATGATACCTTTTTTCTCTCGTTGTATTACATTACGTGGACCGATCGCGAAAAGCAAGCAGTCGGTCGGGCGAAATTTCGTGAAGGTGAAATAATCCTAGTATTGATTAACAAATTGATCGTATAGAGGGAGAGAGGGGAGAGAGAAAGAGAGACGCGAGTTCTCCGTTTAGCCAACTCAACGTTCAAATACCTGCTCGGCAGTAAATGAGATCCGAATGAATGTTAACGGGCCGATTGTATTTTGTTATTTCAGCTCAAGAATCGATCCTTTGGCTCTGCGCTAGGGTGAATTTTTTCATCTTTGAAATATTCATCTTTGTTATTGCTAGTTAACGAAGTTCGATACGGAAGTTTATTTTACTTTCGATGCTCGTTGGAGAAGCATCGAAATAAAACGCGACGATACCTGTAACTATATGTATATCGATGACTGGATGCGTAATAATATCGTTCTAGATTAGCATTCGCAACTCGTTGGATTAATACTTTGCGAATAAAAACGAAGACGAACATGATTACATTTATCATTCGCTTGTCCTTTCGATGAAAAGCTTTGGTCGTATTTAAGTACACGGACTGTTCCCGATAAAATTCCGTATTTTTTCGCGCTTATATTGACGCATCGTTGCACTTATATTCTGTCTACACTTGGCAGTGTTTAAATCTTATTAATTAAATTAAATCAATTTAATTAATTAGGGGGTTTGTGCTCGAGATTGTATAAGAATTTGGAAAATGGAGAATGAGGTTTAAAGTAAAATAGTGCAGTAACGAAATTAACAGTAGCTTTAAATTTTCGTTAATTTCGTTACTATGAAATCGAGATCACTGATTCTTACTGTAATACCTATTAACCCTTTGCGGCCGGTGCCGCTCGACGAGCGAGCGTCTTTGGACGGCTATTTGCCGACACGCGTCCCCAATGGGTTAAGAGGTGGTTTTTGGCCAGGCTATCTTGGCATCGATTCGCTTATAAGCGAAAAGGCAATGAGAGAGCTCTTGTGGACATTCGTGGTCGCCAAGTAAAGTTTCTGTAAAAGAAGGATTCGTTTAAATTTATCGATTAATGAAATCGCAATGATATATAGGGTTGCGACAGCTTACCTTCACCGTGGACTAACTTGAAGAGACCGTAGTCTTGAGGATTGGTGCACCTTATCTTATGCGCAAGGATACGACAAATTTCTCTAATGTTCATGTTGGGTCGCACTGGTAGCGTTCTGGTGTTTAAGGATCCGTGCAGTTCGTCTGGTACTAAGATTCGCAGTACGGACGAGCAGTCAGGTGTTCCGCATCCCTAGAAAAAGTAGTAGACTCGAAATAAACATTTCGCTCGTTATAGTTAAAAGATGATGTCGATCTTGTCGATATGGATTCGCTTACGTTCAACGTGGACATCGTTCCTTGGCTTGACTTGAACGTTTTCAAAACATGAACTGCGCTGGACAGCGTTGTCAGGTAGTAACCTCCCTCACCGGTGAGAAGGGAGGGATGAAGCAGTCCCCACATATACTCGGCTTCTACCTCGGCGTCCACGACTTTTCCGCGGACTAAGACCCAAACGAGAAGAGGTAGAAGGTCGTCTGCGCCCAGCGTTACATGTCGGCCAGAGTTTGCAAGCTTTACCTAAATCATCGAGCAACGGGTCGAATGGTTAATCAACACGGTTTTAGGCAACAGAATCAAGGTCCGACGTCAAAGTTGCAACGGTTTACATACGGAATTGAAGATCGCCGAAATGGCTGCGAGGAGATTCTCCAGCTTATCCAGAGGCGAATCCGCCTTCTGAAGACGATCGATGTACTTGAGAATTCGCTCCAAACTCGGTTCCGAGGGAGGAATGATCTTTGGCTGTAAACGTAGAGATTGATACTGGATTTGCGGATTGAGCCTATCACGTTCAAAATATGTTAATTTTTATGCTTTCAGTGGTTTCGTATACATGGCGTATACGATACAACGATACTAATTCTAAGAGAAACACAGCGACACGGTAATATTTTTTTAAACGACTACTAACTCGAACACCGAGATCCTGAACGTGCTTTCCCTGGGCGTGCAGAATGTTCTCGGCAAGGGTTTGCAGCGAGCCAGTGGCTGCGTAATGCTCCACGAATAGTCTGTAAACGTGTTCCCTGAGCGGCCTCACCACGAGGCCCATCATCACTCCTTCCAGAATAGCGTCCAAATTTAGAAACTCGTTTGGTTTCAGCTTCAGTCTTTCCTTCTCCACCTCCTTTTCGAACTCCCTTTCGCCGTGCTTCACCAGGTAGTTCTTCATGCCGGACATGAACTGCCGCATATTCCTCATCACGACATGAGGACTGGCTTCTTTACCCTCTTTCGTACACTGGATGAAGTTGTCGATGTTTTGAGAAAAGGTGGTCGTTTTATCTGCCGCCAGTTGAAGAGCGTACAACCTTATGGTAGATCCGGTGCCACCGTTTTCACGGTTTCGGAGAGCTTGTAGTCGTGGTGTAGCTGGAAATGGTTAAAAACATTCCAATTATAATAGTATACTTGTTAGTATATTATTTAGTATTACTTTGCCAATATATCGATATCGATATCGATATCGAATGCGATCAACGGACATTGTGCTCGTTAGTATTGGATGTTCCTGTAATACTTGATAATGGTATTCGACAAATGCAATTTAAACTTTTTTAACTTTCTATCTTAGCTAATACATTCGAGTATCGTCGCTTTATCTTATCTTTAACGATAATAACTACCAATACCATTCGAAAATAATCAAACTATGTTAAAAACATTGAAAATAGACTTTATCCGTACGCGTGCTTATTATAGCGATAAAAATGTCATTTTTGTTGGCTATTGGGAAACATCAGCGATGTTTACGATAGTGACGAGAGTCAAGTCACTTACGTTTAAAAACTTGCACGCTATTTTGGAATCGCTTGCAAATGCACCGGAACCATCTACCTATTTTTCGGAATATGCCTCTAGTCTTCGAGGAGAGGCTCCTTCTCTGCTCGCGTACCTCCGCCTCTACCTCTACCTCCACCGAGGAGTTTATCATCCTTTACAACCAATTAGCAAACAACTTGGAAGGCAAATCTAACCAAACGGTCGCCCAGCCAATTTTTCCTTGGAACGATTAAATCTTTCGACGTTTCATCGATCAAGGTTGATCGATCATCCATTCCTTCGATCTTATTCAATTGTTTCCACAAAAAGAGAACAACTCGCACGAGTTTTTTTGTTTTCGGTGAAATTCGAGCCAACTTCCGGATTCGATAAATTGTACATTATGTAGTTGACTCCATTATCTCTCGGTAGATGTTTCTTTAGTTTGGACGATCGATAGCGAGAAGGATACTTCCGGTCCGAATTATCGAGCGTGCACAAAACTTGCAAGATCTTCGATAGAGTTTCTCGATATTGATTCTCCTCGAAATTACATCTCTTCGATGCAATGATGTTGTGTACATTCCCTTGCTCGTCGAATCTTGAACGGGGTACAAGATTTTCTTTAAATTTTCTCATCAACGAATTTTCACGAGAAAATCTTCCAAAAAGTATCGTTGCTTCTTTTGTTGGACACCTTTTTATCGTCGATATACCACCGTATCGGATCGGATCGCATTACATACATCGAATCGCATCGCATCACATCGCATCACATTGCGTCGCGTTGGTGGGAACAAGAAATCGTTCTTATTCACCTGTCGCACTTGATACATCTAAGTCAACTGCACTTTCAATTTCAAAGCGTTAACTGTATTCGTCGAGGATCATCGAGGCTCGAATCGTTTTCGACGATCGCGATCGAGACCCATCAACAGACTCATCACGAGCCTCGAGACGAGGCTGCATCGGCGATGGGCTAGTTGCCACTGTAGAATCGACAGCGTTCTCGCGAAAGGTAGCCACTTCGTTGCTCCGACATTTGATGGCTCCAGAGGGAGGGGCGCGGTTGTACGATGTACGCCCTGATCATGTTGCGAACGACCGCGTTTCTACGCAATTTTTCTACTCGATGTACAAGGTCTGCGATATTCCTTTCCTGTTCTTTTTTCTTCTTTTATGAGTTACAACAAGTAAAACGTACATCTGTTTAAAATTGTTACGCGGAAAATAAAGAAAAGGTTACGGATAACATCGAAAGGTACCACTACGTCGTGTTACCTTGCTCGAAGAGGAAACGATTCGATAAGAAATACGATTGTCCACGTTCGACAAAGAGTTGCGAGGTAGCGAGCGGTCGTTTGACTCACGGAATATCCAGCCTTGTTTTCAGACATGAAAACAATTTCTAATACGCCATTGTATATCGCGCGGCAGACATCTCATTGTCAGAGTCTCGACTCGATACGCGTTCGATGAATTGTCTGTGCACGTGAACAACCTGTGAAACCTTGCTATCGACGCGCGATGCTCACACTCAGATTAAAGTCGATATATGTTACTCAACGATTTTCCCGAAGTTACCTTTCGAAGAGATTAACGCTCTATTAGTAAATTGTTAATCGTTCAACAAAACACTTTTCAGCAAAAGTTGCATTACATATTGCAACAGATATGCGCGACGTTATTAATCTTTTGGCAAACAGTCTCTGATTACTCGATAGCTTATCGGTACATAAGTAATTAGTGTAACAGATTGTTCAAACGACTAATAGCGTCACGCGTAGGACAGATTCTGCTAGATAAGCTTTGCCAATTAGGTCATCTAGTACATATTCGGAACGAAACGCAATAACATTGCTCTTTGTACCAAAACATTACCATTATCGTATCAGAAAAATTCGTTAGGAGATCATAAGAATTTTTCGAGTAGATGTCGAGCAGAAAATCGTTTGTACGCCGCTTCTATGCCAACGGCGCGCGCCGACGCAACGTAATACGCTTGAACAGTCAGACGCTCGCGTGTCGAGAGTGACATTATTTGGACAACAGTGGAAGTGCATTGTCACGTGCACCGAGTATGTAGAGATACGTATATCGAAGACTGTATTCGGAAGGTCGGATCGGGCGGTGAGACGCGCGTGGCTGTCGTTCGAATGTTACGTTGCGTTCTATAATGCGATAGGAAGATCGAGAAGAAAGAAATTGCGCATGATGCGTCAGACGGAAAATCTACGTCGTTGACGAACTCGAACAAAACGGGAATCGAGTAAATGTGTGACGATATAGCGATCGATTAGGCTGCCAAAGAAAATCCGGTCACGGTTTCTACGTTCCGATTTCGTTGATTATTTCATCCGCCATTAGTCATTACCGATTTCTTCCATGCCCTATATTATTTTAATCGTTGCTCGCTCTCGTTTCTTATCTGTATCAACCAACGCGTATGTACGTTACGTACAGAACACGCCACCTAAATCGTTCGTTTTAACAATTATTTGAAAGATTAGCGAGTTTTCTATTTGTTTTTTCTTTTTCAACCGTTATTCGTTCTCTACGCGTTCATTCGTCGCGTTAATCCATCAAACTCGACGAGAAGTTTATTCGACAAAAGGATCGCACGCGAGAAAAGTGTTGACTTGTTTTTTACAAAGGCCTGTCACGTGGACCGCGAGGAGGAACTTCCACTACGGAATTTGCATTACTTATCGGCCGTGAACTTTATTGGATAAGCCCCAGCCGTTGTGTAACATGCTAATCGTCGAAGCGTTGTCAGAGTTTCGTCCTTGTCGTTTGCAAATTATTACGATTCGCGATGTTCATCTATCCGTGGCATTCTCCTATGCAGCCGATCTCGATACACGATACGTTAACGATAATAGCGATACGGACGAAGACAAAGACCGCGTACGGATAAAGAAATATCACAGGGTATATACAGAAATCACGGTAGAGAATCGAGAGAGCAAACTCACAAAGAAGGGAGTCCAGGCGTTCCTTGATGTTCTTGTTCTTCCTTTCCGCGTCGCTTTCGTCCGTCTCTACGGGCGTTTCCCATTCGGAGGAATCGTACATTTGGTCCTTCCTAGAGTCAACGGTGTCTTCTTTCTCGTTCCTCTTCTCGACGTTGTCGTACGAGGAGTTTCTGTCGCTGTACAGCGACTCCGACGTGTCCGGTGGTTTCAACAGCTGTGGGTACCTGTCGAATTCGCGAGAAAATTTAACGAACGCGCGACTAGGGTCGATCGCGAAATTAAACCAAGATCGTTGGTCATCGAACCAAAACGAGCAATCGGGTCGAATGCTTACCGTTGGAGAATGATACTTTGAACGGTCAATGTGTTCCCAACAACGTCTTTTTCGCACTCCTCGTCCGGAAACTTCCTGGCCACGTTATCGCCCTCGTAATCCACATCACAGTCGTAGTCTGGCTCGCAGTCGTCCCCTTCGTTACCTGAACACGATACATAGTATACATATACATATAGTATCAACACGAGGTCGAGTTAACGATCGAAATCCGTAAAAGAAATTATAACGGTCGTACGAACACGTCGATGCGATTATAGAAGAAACGACAAGGATTATCGCGTCGAGTAGCGTTAACTAGCTCGTAGAAATAATTTACCAATGAATTCCCAGCTGGAGTCTACAGCCCAGGACGTATCGTTCAACATCTTCGTTCTGATCTTTGGCGGCTGGACTGGCTTTGCGCGAGGAATCTTCTTCGTCTCTTTGGTGCCGAGTCGTTTCGCCAGATTATCTACCGAAGATGATATCAGAGGCGTCTTGTCCTCAGTTTCCTCCGATTCCTCCCAATCGATCGGATGAAGCTGATTAGGGTTTCCGCCTGTCGGTGTTTGCAGCCAACCAGGCTCGCTGTGTCGGTACTTGTTCGTCGCTGGGTTGTTCCGCGGCCGTCTTCTGGGTATTACCACTGTATTTTGAGCGATAGCGTCAGCTGGTTCCGCGTAAAAAGGACTGCCTTGTTTCGACTCTGGCGTCAGAGGGCTGTTGCTTTCCGATTTCGTCAGCATCAGTCCAAGCTTGTTCCTCGGAGGCGTTACCGTACTCGGACTGTTTAACGAATTCGCGCTACCTGTGCAGAGAAGAAACGTTATTGAACGCGTTATTGAGCAGCTACGCAATTTCAGTTAAAGTACTCACAAACTCGGGATAACAGATCGGGTCTCCTTCCCATTCCTGTTTCCTCCGGTGAGCCGTTCCCCTGGTCGGCAGGTTTGACCTCTTGCATAGGTTTGAAACTGCTGAACTCGGGGCTGGTCGTCTCCCTGTAACTTAGCTTCTCGTTCACGATCGACTTTTCGTTACGCACGATCATTCTGTTGTTTCTCGCTATCAACTGTTCATTCGTTGGTAATCGATCGTTCGAGTTCCTCTCGGCCGGATTCAACGCTTTCTCCGGAACCATCAGCCGATCGTTTGAGTTTCGCAACCGTTCCTGACAATTCGTGGGACCATCGTTCCGTGGAAGTTTGTCGTTCGGCGAACAGGTAGAATGATTCGATTGATCGGTCGTGTTCCAGATGTCTTCGTAGTCCGAGATCTTGTCGCCCGGCGAACTACGGTAGTACGATTCCAGAATGTCCGACTCTTGATAGTGTTGGGAATTTTTGCGAGCCTCTCGATCTCGCCTCCGCTTCGATTTGCTCGTACTGGAGGGTGTCGTCGGCGAGAGAACGTTGGGCGTTTTGATGCCGGTGTTTGGGACTAGCTTCGACATCGGGGAGAGCACGGGCGTCGTTGGCGACAACGGAGATTTCACGGACAAGTTCGAAGCGAGTGATCTGTTGGAGGTTACGCTCTGGGGGCTCAACAAAGACGTGTTTGGGTCAGATGGAGTATTCTGTAACGAGAGAGAGAGAGAAAGGGGGAATATAAACGAAAATTAGCGCAATCGCGGTGAAAGGGGAAGACTAAATCCTCGAAACCTCGAAACCTCGAACTTTCAATCGTTTGCGAAGCAAATCACCTGCGAACCGATGAGCTCATGCGTCTGGTTTACGTTGAAGGTCACCGTGGTGGTCACCGTGAAATTGTTCTGCGCGTGTCCCGGCTTTGCCCACCTTGGAGGCGGCGGAGGCGGCGTCCTCGCGTTTTGTCCGATCGCATGGTTCTCTCCGACGATGCTCCTGAGGTCTGGCAGCACCGGTGAATTCGCGCAGGACAGGTTATTGAACGTAGAAACGTTCTGGTGGACATTTGAAAATCTGCTCCTACATAGCTCCATCACCGTCGAATTTGACGTTTCCGCGGTGCATTTCGCCTCGTAGTTGACCTTGGGGTCTTGAACGGGGCTCAGCACGTTGTTCTCCACGTTATGGACTATCGGAGAGGGACAACGCACGCTCTGAACCAGATTCGGCGAGATGAGTTTCCGCGAGAGCTTATCTCCCGGGGACATTTTGTCCTTTTTCTTAGCGTCCAAGGGCTCGTTGAAAGTCGTCAAGTTCAAAGTGTTGGGCGGTGTTGGCCGCGGCTGCCGAGGCAACGACGATACGAACGTCGATGTGGCGACGGTGGTCGTCGGTGACGAGCTTCCTGCGAGCACATGTAACGCATCTATGAGAAAATTATTTTCGTCCGCAGCCACTTTGAGTCGAGCGGGTTTTCCAAAGCACGGAACATTCATTGACCGTTGCACGGATCAAAATTCTTCGCGTCTTTGTCCCAATTACTTTTCTCGAAAACAACAATTAAACCAAATCAAAGACTTACGCGTATCGTGCGATGGTATCGGCGCAAGGTTCAGCACTATACTTTCCGTTGTGGGTGTGCGAACGTTGTTGTTATTGTTGTTGTGGCCTGAAAATAATTGATCAACTATCAGTGGTAACGTGCCGAAACTTGGCGAATTATTGAAATGCTTTCATCGACTTTTACTTGGATTAAACTTACCGCCACGAAAGCTACTCAAGCTCGAAGTGTTGCTGCTGCTACTTTCCGGCGGCTTCGGGTTTGCCATCGGGTATCTCCAGAATTCCTGACCCAAAAGTGCCAACGAGGAGAGTTGCTGCCTATTTTTAGCTTCGCGCATCGCCCTTGGCAGTATCAATTGGACCGGCAATTCGTCACTGCTTGCCAAAGTAAAACAAACAAATTGAGGCGAATTAATACTTGGCAGCCTGTTGGCCTAATGGAATCGGTAAGGCGATTGGTTTGTCGACGGAATCTTCCGAATTTTATCCAACGATAATCAAACAATAATAATAAAAGTTAAAAGAAGAAACTGTCGAAACCTCTGATTGGATCGCACCGATATATCGTTAACGCGGCGAGGTAAAACGCCCGGAACGCTTATGAATCATTAATCGAACCGTGTAAAAGGAAAAATGGCGCGTCGATTATCATGAAAACCAGGTTTAATAGCGCGAACGTGGCTTTCCAGTGCTTCCATTAGCCGCCTAAATTATCTCGGGCCACGATCGAAGCGACTTTCACCGGGCAGGTTTCGTTCGCAACTCTGCTTCGCCTTCCACGCTCGAGAATTCCATAAATTATGCAACACGAGAGATCGCCGCCGGTCTAATCCTCGGTTTCGTTGCGATGTCGCGGTATAATTTAGATCGAAAAAGAAAATAATTTCGTGGCGAGTAAATCAATTTGTTATCGAAGGCAAAGAGGAGGGGCGTATTCGAGTTAATAAATCGCGATCGGCCGAGAGAAGCTATGATCTACGAGCTACAGATCGGACGGGATCACCTGTGGTCGCTCAAGGTCGTTTCTTCTCTATATTTTCAAGATTGTCACTCGCGGCCTTACCACTCCAGGGCGGCAAACGCATAGCGCGAGACTTTAGTTTTGTAGCAGAAAAGAAGGAAAGAGGAAAGAGGAAAGAGGAAAGAGGAAATGGGAAACGGAGAAGTAGGATACAGCGAAACGGTACGGTGGAGAGGATAGCGTGTTATCGGTGGCCTTGAGCGGCCAGCTGAGTTTGCAAAGACTCTACTGTACTGTACTGTACTGTACTATACTATACTGTACTTGTACTGCACTGTAACGGACGTTGGCATCCGATCGCGCAGAAGGTGAACGCGAAGAGAGACCACTCACCAGCACTGAGAATAGTGGGCGATCAACGAGGGGATGTTGTCGAACCTGTTCTCGCTGGTTTCCAAGCTCAGCTTCCCCTTGTTGGCTTGTATCAGGTAATGTTCGATGTACGGTCCCTTTCCCGGTGGCAATCGTACAGAGAGGGCCATCGTGTCGGTCTGACTCGATTGGCGGACGACAAAGTTCTGGAAAGAACCAAAATCTCGTTAACTTTTCGTCGCGTCGTATCGTCGATACGAGATTTTTGTCGATGCGATACACTCGACTGCGTATTTCCGGCCTACGAAAGGTTTCGTGCAATCACCAGCCACGTTTCGACGAGCCGTGAGACGAAGGGGTCGGGGGACGGGGGACGCGGGGTGTCTCGCCTATGGAGGAGTAATTGCGAGCGGCATTGTTTTTCGCCCGTGCAATTCGTCTGTAGCCCTTGATGCGATAGGGGGATGGAACGGACCAGGACGATTAACAAACCTGGAAAACAATGAACCACCGAGAAAACAATGCTGCCACAATGGCACAGCTCGTTCGCAGTCGTTTTCCTGCTGATTACAGCCCCCCTCCCCTCTCTCTCTCTCTCTATATATATATATATTTTTTCATTTACATCGCCTCGCTTCCCTTATTCATCGGCTAGAAAGAGAAAATTGTTTAGCGTGAAAATATTATTGGCGCAGGCGGAAATTCTATCCGGGATTTCCTTCGCTTCCAAGATTCGACATTCCACAAATCCACTCTTCGCTCGAGTGACGCCTGACCCGATCTTGACACTTCCCTCCCGTCTTAGTCGTTGCATCATCGTCGTCGAGGTGTCTCGACCTCGTATTTAAATGTTGGCGAGTCCTTATCCGAGTCTCGATCTCGTTCGATTCCACTTTCGCGCAGGCATCGTATCGCCGCGCCAGCGCCGCGAAAAAGCCTCGATTTCATCTTGGTGCAATTTCAAGTAGCTCTCGACCTCGCTTTCGCTACAATCTTTGCGCGAGGGTCTTCGCCTACTGCCTGGTCTCGATCTCGTTTCGAAACGGTCTTTGCTTCGTCTTGACACAATCTCCGAGTAACTCGACTACTTTTTTCTCTAGGTTCCTAGCAAAGCACTCGGTTATCTGACGCTTCGGTGCGGGTATCTTCTCGTCGACAAAGAGTTCCAGATTTTCGTGGGACCACAATCCTATCGATTGGACAACTCGGTACTTTAACGGTACAACGTTGGAGATAGATCGACGAGAACTTGCAAAAACTCGGTTCTAAACGATGCGACGGAAACAACGACACAGTTAAAAACAAAGAAATTTTTCTTTGCTCAGATCGATCGAAACACACCGTTTGCGCGGTAACCAGTTCTCGACGACTAGCATTGTTCGATGGTTATCTCTTCCTCCGATCTCGCGATGCATCGACCATGTGGCGAAGACGAACAATCGAAACGAACCGTGCACGGTATACGGAGAAGAATAGAAGTGTCGTGGTGACCGGTCCCGGACGGAAAACCGTGTCGATGTCTGACGCGGTCGTGATCGTCGTCGAAAGTCGAGATCGAACCATTCGATCCTACATATTTAAATCCACAGCAAAACCACCTGGCTCGAGGGTAAACTTTTACGAGGCGCACGATACGCTAACAATGGCACTTGTTATGCGTATTTACAGCGGGGTCGCGGTTTGGAACATCGCCAGAAGTTTAGGTTCTCGTATATTGCCAGGGCAACGTCTGTCGTTTGCATTTACTGCATATTAAGCCACACCGCGCGGTTTGCCAAACGGTCGATGCATCGGGAGATATCTTGGCTACGCTCGATCTGCCCACCGGGGACGATAGCATCCTAACGACCTAACGACGAACGTTAATTGTCCCCGCACGTATCGTATCGCATACACGGGTACATCGCCAGAACTAACTGGAACATTTCTCCGCGATTCTTTCGATGGACGGAAACCTTAGGGAATTGGGTCGCCGTGTCGCGCCGCGCCGGACGATCAAAGCTACGCCAACGACGCGGCGCCGGAAAAGTTTGAGGTATCGTTGGAGCGATTTTATCGTTCAAGACTATGTGTTTTCGGCGAAAAATTCTTTGCAGTGGGTAGCAAATGGGGCTGCTTCGAGGCTTGCAATTTTCTTAGCCCTAATCGATTACGTTCGAGTCCACTCACCCCTTCCTCTTTGCCTTGCAACAAGTGGAAAGCACCGGCCCTTTGGATGCCGGGAAGGAACCAAATCGGATGGGAGCGTATAAGCCTCTCGATCAGAGTGATGTCGCAGGCGATCTCGCTCCCAGAATCTTCCGTGGAGTTGGAAGATCCGCCGGAAGTCGCTGAGCCTTCCGAGGAAAACGACTCCTCGCTCTGAAAATATACGATTAATTCGGTTAGATACTAGTTTTCTTTCCTGACCGTTACAAAAGTTGCATCGAAAGAGAGGCTGATTCCGGATAAAGCCAAGGGAAAAAATTACGGTTCGTTACGCGTTGCTTTAGTCGGGAATTGTGCGGACAAAGAAAACGATAAAAAGAATACGGACACAGGGGTGAAGAAGAGTTAGAGAAGAGGGGACAGGGTAGGAAAGAGTGAAAAAAGGGAGGAGAGACAAACGAAAAAGTCGGAGCAGCAAATTAAACGATAGCTAAATAAACGATGCTCGGGGCATTGGCTGCAAATTGAGATAACCGGTAAAAGTCCCCGGTTTCCTGGACGACGCGCGGCCCGGTATAATACGGCATTAGAGTGTATTGTACGACGACTAAAGAGGATTTACACCCCTAGAATTGCGGCTTAAGGGACCGACATTTCCATACTCGTAGATGACAGGTAGTCGCGAGTCGTAACAGGAGGATACTACGCTAGAAAACCAACTGTTCCCAATGTCTCCATTTTCGACGAAATCTACTTTAGTTTGTTCGGCGATTGGCATCGGTCATCGATGTCGATCGATGCCGATCGTTTTTCTCGGATTACGTTTTTCCTTCATCGATCCTCTCTATTTTTCAACTTTTTACGCAAACACGTCGGCGAAAAAGCGGCTCGCGACCCCTTCGTACTTTTTATCCCATGTATTCCAAGGAATATCGTTGGGTTATTCGACGCCGACGGACCGTCGTGAAAAGATCGTTAATTCAACCGGTATCGAAAGCTGCTCTCGAAATTTGACTATGTTCGCGAAAAATGCTCGTCAGCTAAATAATTCAAAATCGATATCGTATATTCGATACCGGATAGAGAGACAGCATTTCGTTTAATTTATCGTAACGGTTAACTTGCATAGTTACGTTCGAGGGACATTGTTCGATCTTCCGTACTGCTTTTTTCCACAGGGGTAAACGTGAACGCAACGGGTTATGGGAGGGGATCCGTGAAGGGGTTGCCGCGTGCCAAGAGTTTCGAGTGTAATTTAATTTGAAATGCAGACTGACGCACAACGACGTTTCGGGTTAAACGGATTAAACGAGAACGTGCGATGCGTACCGAACACGCGCTTGCGGCTAATTGGGAAACCCTTAATTGCTTGTCGCGAAAAGTATTAAGCAGCCCTGACGCGGTGCGGAGCGGAGCGATTTTTTAACGATTCGGTAACGCGATCCCTTCGTAAAATTTTTAATCGAACGACCATTCATACATTCGTCATTCGAAGATGACGTTCGAAACGATTCTCTCGAATCGTTCGTCTCACCTGTACATGATGTAGCTGCGTAAGCTGATGATGTTGCAACGGATTCGGTGGAGGCGTGCTCGGCGAGCTGACAACTTGAACGGTTCCGTGTTGCTGCAAATACGGTTCCAGGAAAACATCGCTCCTGCAACAAGAAAATAGACCTTAGACCAGACTAAATCGACGTACATACGTAAGTCGAACATCACATGGAAAAAATAAATTATGCTTCGCGGTACGATTAACATGACTAACAGGGCTATTGGAAAACTAGGTTGCACGACTATGGTGGGAGAAGGAAAAAAGCCAAGAGACAGTCAGCGACATATGATTACCTTCTTGCTATTATCGTTTGCGACCAGATTATTATTTTCGCTAGAGCGAATAATTGGTCCGTTACAAAGTGCTCAGGTCTTGCACTCGAATCGCGGACAGAATCGCAAGTCTAAGTAAAAATGAAGAAACTGGCATCAACGGTGGATACCCAAATGGCAGATTCTTGTTACCTACTTCAAACCGCGTAACTGGTCCGGTACGGGTAATCGGTTAGAAACTCGCAGATAAATTCTCTGTGGCACGGTGGTAGCTAGGAAGCCAGTTAGCCAGACCGCCTCAGCTCCAAAGGTATAATGCCCGCTTTGTAAACGGATCTCGATGCTGGCGTAATTTCCGTCAAGTTGCCCTGGGAGACACCGCGCGTTTCGTATACGCGAACTTTCCTAATCGATTTCGTAGGTCCTCTCTCGAGCGACGAACAACCACGGAATTTCCACAGGGAGAAGAAAATTTGCAAACGTTGCCGACCCTCGCACGGCTACTCTTAGTCGCGAAAGCGTATCGTATACTCGCAGCAAAGATAATGGACGTCCGAGCAGTCGATTAATCTGCAACGCGAAAAATAAGTCGACGTCGGGGTCGTCTAGCCGCTAGACGGATGTCGCGTTCGAGAAAATCGATGCGACGCGACATAACAAAATCGTCCATTGGCGAGCGGGTGTATTCGAGAGAAAAAAGGACGAAAACGTCGACCGGATGTCGACACCGTTTTCCTAAAGACGATTTATGTCGCGCGTAGCCAAGTCGAGGATTTTTTAATTGCGACGCCGACAGCCGATTCCCATCGAGGATTGGAGTATCAACTTTCGATAGAAATTTCGAGGTAGATCAGATTAGCCTTCCTCGTAGCCTATAAAGTCGATAGAAAATTCAACCAAGGTTAATTTCAAATTAATCGAACCATTTTGTCGGTTGACAATAAGAGCAGCGTCGAGACGCGAAAGCAGCGAACGTGGTTTGAGATGGACCGTTCAACTGTCAAACGCAGAGGACACGATAGAGCGCAGACCGTCTACCGGATACCGGATACCGGATACCGGGGATGGCGGCCACCAACTTTGCATACGTCGACACCCTTCGAACTCGTACGATATTCAGCGGCAGATTGCGACAAAGTTTGCTCGAAATAAATACCGTTTCAAACTTTGGCGCACGATGCTAAATGGAACGCGCAACCGCGCCAATTATTCTCTGGGTTCTGACGCATCTCTACAGTGGCGCAAATTAGTTGCGATGCAACGTGTTCCCATTGAAAGCAACCGATCGCATCGCACAGTGGCTTCCTTGTTTGAACGCGATCGAGCTCGTCGCTGACCGATCGATAAACAAACCGATGGAAATCGAGTGCACAGTTGGAACAGCCTTACGGATTATCGGTTGACTTGGTGGATATTTTGAGAATCGTTAAAATTTGTTGGTACGACGCAACGTCACACGTTCGTGGCGATAACGACGAATCGTGACATGCAACATGCGAATGCGACGAGCCGAATTGAACTTTACTTTCCGACGTGGCCTGTTCTTTTCGAATCTCGGAAATTTCGATGAAACGTAATTCCCGGCCACGCGTCAAATTGGCATCGGTCGGTCGAAAATAACAAAGGGCCAGCGACGCGGAAGTTACGTTCCTGATTCGTCGACGAGGACCGTGTTCGTCGTCTGCGAGATCCGACGGGGGTTGCCATGACGACTGGAGGTTCTCGACACGTGGTCCAGCGGGTGGCTCGTAAGGGTAAAAGAGATTTTTACGTATTAACGAGCGAGCGTGCATCGAGCCTGCACAAGGTATGCACGTTCTCGTGCGACCGAGCAGGCGAGCAGACGCTGGTCTCTCTTCCTGGAACGCGTCTCAAACGAGCGAAATATCTCGAGTACGATGGAGTCTCAAAGGAACGCGAGCTCGTAAGGAGGAACTCTCCTTTGCTCCTTTGCTCCTTTGCTCCTTTGCTTCGGTTGCGCTCAGTTTTGCTTTCTTTACGAGTTTCGTAGTCTCGAGATGTTAATTCACTATAGTCTGCCAGGAGAGAGGATAATTGTCGTCGACCTAGCATTCGCGGCTCGAGTGTTAGCCACTCTCTTTAAAAAAAAAAGAAGGCGGAGATCCTTGTAACAAGTTGGTCCTCGTTTCGTGTTTAACGCAACAGACATTCTGAATACCGAAGAAAATGTGGTTGGTTCTCATCTTCCGAAGTAAATTTCCTCCATCAGCGTTTACATTCGGTTCGGCTTAGGTCCGTCACACGGATTACGGTCAACGCGATATTTTCAGAGAGCATACAGTAATCGAAAGAAAGAAGGTGAGAGTGGTAGTGTCGTCGTAACCCATGGCATGGTCGGTAATCTCGTTGTCTACGACCGACGCCGACGCCAACGGAACCTTCGAAATGACAAAGTTTCTACATTAGTCCAACTTCCTAACTAAATGATCGGCACTCTGGAAATCGCGTGGCTCGCCGGTAGAGGTTTAATCGACCGGAAGCGGCGTCCTCCTTGCGAGAAACAAGACCGGATATTGGCGGAAGCTGTTCTTCTCCGGACGCGAGGACAATTACGTTCCCTGGTACGAAGCGGAACGAGATCGCGCGTCCAAGACAGAGTTGTGGCAACTCTGTAGGAAAGATTACGGTAAAGTATCAACGACTGCGAAAATATCACTTTCCAGAAATGACGCACGGCTAACGTAATTTTTTGAAGAAAAATATAACCGACTTGGAAAAACTATAATTGCTTAAAAGTATAAAGTAATTTCTATTTAAACTGCATTGTTACTCACCAGCTCTTGATGAATTCGGTCGGTTAAAAAACACCGTTACTTACGCCTCGTCGTCGATCATTTTTCTCGATCATCGCAACGCGCAACGATTCTCGCGCGAGAGTAGTCAAGCGTAGATATGGGTAGACGGAACAAGAGCACGAAACGCAGAGTGGAATAAACGAAACGAGCGAAGGAAGCAACAAGGAAGAAAAAGGTTGCGTTCAAGACAGCCAAAGCGCGACTCCCGAGCACCAGCTTCTTCTCCGGTTTCTCGTGGAGCGAAACCGAAGCCAAAGAGCGACTCTTGGGTTACATGCCAAGAGCAGCGAAGCGAGCTTGAGTTACTCGATGCAACACGCGACACTTTGCTCGCTAAGTACCTCCACGCTCTGTTTCGGCTCTCGTACCTGTCACATCGACGCCCCCTCGCGCCGCGCCGGCCCGTCGTTCAATTTCGTAAAGGACAAAATTTCGACGTCGACGATACAACGGTATGGGCTCGAATGACATCCAGAGATCAATCCTGTTCATTGGCGACGAAAACAGGATGATGAAATTAATTGATTCGACAAGTTTGTTCTCAAAATCAGCGCGCAAATGTAGCTTTGCAACCGTGTCCTTGTTATCGGGCAACCTACAACCTACGATACCCCGCGGGCCGTCTAGGACGAATCGACGAAGGACTTTGTCCTAGGGTTCGATGGATTACACGACATTTCAAAGGACTCCGATATTGGTCGCGCAAGGAGGGTATAACGTATCTAGCTTTCCCCAAGGATTTCGAAACGACTCGATTTCTAGAGTGAAAATGGGCTTTCTCCCTTGCAGCAGTAGCTAGAGAATCCTGCGTGCCCGGGGCTCGCATCGATACTATTATCCTTTCGACCATGCAAACGACACTTGGTTCCCGGCAAGTCTATCCGTCGCGGCGCCGAGGCCAAAGTCGGCGTTTCGGGTAGAAAACTGATTTTACTTCAAAACGCTTTTTTCTCGAGTCGCGTCCTATCCATCGATCGTGCCATAAGAGTTTCCCAACGGATATCGGACCGCGGAAAATGAAAGGGAAAGTCGGCGCGTTAGCCACCGCAGGATTAAACGATCGCGTCCTGGCCTCGTGTCTCGTTACATTAGACCGAAAGTGGCGTATCGTGTTTCGCGTGGTTTCCTCCATTTACTCGCACGACGAGGTCCAAGCTTTTCTGCTCGGCTCGGATACGCTTCGTTGCAAGAGTAATCTCTAGCGATTCCTTCGTTTTTTGTTTCCACGTTTAAATTCTCGCACGATGTCGCGCGACAAAACGGCAATTAAATTGTTTGTACGTAGAAAATGAAAAATGTCGACTAAACGCGCTACGTACTTGTCCTTTATTCGACAAGAAACGTTCGTTCCAACCCCTGTCGCGATTTCCAAGCCGAAAAAGCGTGCTCGCGCGGGTGCATTTGCGCGTACATCTCGAGAGCTGCGTTACAACGAATGCGACCGGCCGCTGTCAACGAAATAGGGTCGTAAGTGGCATTAACGCGACCCTTTTCGCCTCTATCCCTCTTCTTCCCTTCGTTTTATCGAAAAATGTTCATCGTTGCGCCCGCTGCACGCTATTCTTCGATTTGTCGGCAATATAATGGAATACCGGATTTGGAATTTTTCGCCAAGTAACGTTATCGGTGAGAACGAGTCCGCGAACGTGTAGAACGTCACACCTATAGGAGAGTTTTCGGAAAACATCGATTAGCCGAGGATCGTCGCCGAGTGACTGATCTAGCAGAATTTCTAGGTATGTAATACGTTTAGTCGGAAGCGCAAACAGAAAACGTTCAGAGTCTCAATGAATCATGCTGCGATATATGTATCTATCGATATATAATACAATACATATAACAATTGCGTACATTGCACGGAAGTCGAAGTCGATGCTTAAGCTCATCCTTCTTTGAGCGACTAATTAGCTCGATCACGATACTACGATGCCGTTACAACTTGTCTTTGCGTCGTAAACATATTTTTTAAATAGGAATTCACGTTACGCGAAAAAATGCAAAATAACCTTGCGAAT